GAACCGTCGGAGCGAACGTTGCCCGCCCGACCCCCCTGACGTTCCTACGCTTACCGGGTTGGTACGGTGGAGCAAAATTTGACGTCGTCTCGCGTGGCAGAACAGCATGACGACATTGCCGTAGCAATAATGGGTGAAGCCGTGTCCTGCGTAAGACGCCCGCTAGCCGCCAGCCTAATGTATCACGCAAAAATGTCAACGGTGCATGTAGCATCGCAGCCCTTGACTCACTGCTTCCCGCATAGCCTCCCAGGTTTTGTATGACTTGGTTTAGCCCCGGGTGACAACTCGGGAGAGAGACCGGATAGTCGCATTTTGCAGAGTGTGCCAGTCATAATCCCAATTTTCAGGGTAAATTGGCAAACGTTGCACACAATGCCCTACTCGCGAAATGGCCTGCTCTTTGCGAATAACGTCGGGGGTTCTGGGGGTGTGAGGATATTTAACGTCCGCTGCGAAACACATCGTGCAGAGTAGTATTACTACGGATGCTATTACTATCACCGTTGTTAAAGCCGCGGTATTAAACGTGGCGTCCGATGGATTTTCGAACCGTGAGCCTCACTGCAGGACCACGCCACCAACGCCACAGCCCACGTTGGAGGGCTTTAGGATCAATCGTAAAAAAACAATATCTAAACATTTAGGCCTAATTTTCGTTGCACAGTCGTTCCCGCCGGAGTCGTGGGGTCAAAAATGTCGTGCGGTACCAACCGTGGCTCGCCCCAATCGCCAACCAAGATTTTTTTTTCCATCATAGAGGTTTTTGAGTTACATCACGTAAATATAAATGTGTCGTTAAACCCGCCACCACCCGACACAGCCAATTAGTTAGGTTTGTCAAGTAGCGGGTTTACCATCACATATTTACGTGATCTAACCCAAAAACCTCTTCTGGATAATATTGGTTGCAAAAGCCCTACTACTACTACGTGTTAAACTGAATATTTTTTTGCAAACGATTTTCTCTACAGATCGTGCATGCGTCTCATAGCAAGGCTCACGTGGTAGCTCTCTTTGATTAAATGTTGTTTGGTTAATGACGGGTATCGTAACGAGTTTAATGATATTTTTTATATTTATTTGTTCATTTAAAAAAAAAACCCCAATGTGAAAATGAAGCATCTTATATGAAGTGTCAAAATAAAGATGACGTCAGTAAATTACAAAAAAAAACAGATGGCACGAGCACTGCGAAGCTTGCCCGCTAAACATTCAAACAATGTCGGGTCCCAACATCAACCGACGGTGGCCTCACGTTTGCACGTTTGCTGGGTTGTCCACCTACTGTGGGACACACTGGTGGACGTTTGCCACCCCAAGTGGTGTCCACCGATCCCACCCCCCCTTGTCCCACGGGCCAAGTGTGTGCGCTTGTGGGGAGCGGCAGCACAGCAGCTGGCGCCCCTCGCTACGAACCCGGCCACCTGGGTTCGATTCCCGCTCGCGGCCACCAGCACCAGTGTCTGAACCAGTCCTTGGCCACCCCTAGGTCGGCTCGGCCTCCAATGAGTAGCTGGAGCGTGGTGTGTAAACATCGCCACTGGGGAGACGAAGACGGCCGGGCGTGGTTGCTGACCACCCACCCACTCGTGAACCCGTTCCGGCCTTCATAGGTGCCGCTCGCTTATGGCACTTGCCCCGACAGTCTGTTCGCGCTGCACGGGGCGATCTCCGTCTTTGCACCGCACCCCACGCGATGGTGGACTTGCAGGCCACGCGTCATCCCACTCGGCCTGTGGTCCATCGCTGTCGTCCAAAAGACGAAGAAGAAAGAACAAACTCAACCGTTCCGTTCGCTGCACAATTTCAGCTCGCGGATGCCACGAACGAGCTTGCGTGGGTGACGTCGGTGGCAATTTCTCTTGTTGTTGTTGTTGTTATTATTGCTGTCGTTCGGTTGTAATTTTGTTTTCTCGCCGTGAATTTAATAAAGAGCTCTTCGGTGTTTGATTCCAAGACTCCCTTCGGGTTGACCGGCCGCATCCCACTCACGGCAGCTCCAGTGCCTCACCTCGACATTTAGCGGTCCGGGAGCGCGGTTGTGGCGTGTGCTCGGGCCAACGTTGACCCAACGTTGGCCCCACGTTCCATGTTTTTACTGGGAGGGCACGGGGCCACATCGACTTGGCTTTAATTCATCCTCGCGGCACTGCCGTTGGTGTGCGGTGTCCAGAAATCACGCACGGACAATGTGGTATCGTAGTCGTAATAATTTGGCTTGAGAACACCACTTACCTTTATCATCATCATCAATCCAGCCACGTTCAATCCACTGCGGATGAAAGCCTCCACCGTGCAAACCACGGCCACGATATTCTTCTTGTGGTGCTGCGATCTCCATCCAGCACGTGCTCCATCTCCTCGGGGGACGTTCCCCCTGGACGCGTTCCCTGCCCAGGCTGCCACTCCGGCTTGCGCGCTTCACCATCGCAGGCCACGATCATCGTGTGCTGTGAACAACAATGACAACGAGACGCGGGGCGTTCGTTCGGCGAGGGTCCCGGCTCGAGACGCGTCGTGGTTCGACTGGAAATCTGCGGGGCGCAGCGGCGAGTTCATTACCTTCGTGTTCCCGGTCGTTCGGCTGAATCTACAATCTCAGAAATCCAGTCTTGGTCACTTTTGAATAGCGCATTGTACGTGAACACGTTTGTTTTGAGTTCATGTCGCACCACCGTACGTAGCCAACCGTGCTCAATCGGATGTGCGGCGGGGAGGACAACAAACTAAAAACACTAAAACACAGTTATAAACGAAATTAGTCTACATCAGGAGTCGGCAGCCAAAATAACAAGATCCAATCTTGATTTGAAGCTTTCGTGACTGCAGGAATCCATACTCTTTGGTTCTTTCGGTAAAGTCACGTAGGTAGAGAGAAAAATAATAGATCACGACGTTTCGATCGCAACAACAAGCGACCGTCTTCAGGTGAAAGAAGAGCCAGTTCTGTTTCATTTTTTAATTCGTTCAAGAAAAACTCGTTATTTCAAGAGCCGCAATGGACGTGGATACGAGACGGTGATGGTGGTTCCTTCATCACGGCCACGAAGAGCCGCAGTTTTGCCGACCCCTGATCGAGGTGACGTAACAGTGCATCAGCTCCCCGTGGCTCCCTAACATCGGAAGGGGAGAGCGTTCCAGACGGCCGCGTGACGTCATTTATGGACGGCCCCTATTACGGTTAGTGCCTTAACGCCGATAAAACCCACTCCAAGCCAAGTTTCGAGATGCCGTGTCTCATCAGCAGTCAGGCCCGCCAAAGGCAACCCTGCCGATCCGCCAGCAATGGTTTTGCGTTGAACTCAGCGGGACCCCCGTGTCTTAGAGAGAGGGAGAGGGGGTTTGGGGCCGTCCATAAATGACGTCACGCGATTTTTTTACGATTTTTGCCCCCTCCCCCCTCGTCACACGGCGTCACAAAAAGTCAGACCCCCCTAAAATATGACGTCACAAAGCTCTGCCCCCCCCCCCCCCAAAATAAAAATGCTTCAAATCGCTTTAAACTAAAGTCTATTTAAGTAAGTAGAACGTGTTGTCTGTATTTATTTAAAGTTGCGCATTTTGATGTGACGTCACATTTCTTAAACCCGCCCTCCCCCCTCGTCACACATCGTCACAAATGTCTGACCCCCCACCCACCCACCCGCCCCTAGGTGCGTGACGTCATTTATGGACGGCCCCTTTGCCTGCAGCAGCATTGCTTGTGGCGGGCCTGTGACTGCTGATGAAACACCGCATTCTAGATTTGAAGCTTTCGTGACCGCAAAGATTCATACTCTTAGGTTTTTTCGGTAAAGTCACGTAGGGAAAAATTCATAATAAAAGTAAAAATTATAGAAATAAAAAAATATTTTTATTAATATTTTTATTATTTTCACTTTTATTATTTATTTTTGCCCACGTGACTTTACCGAAAAAACCTAAGAGTATGAAACACCGCATGCCGAAGCCGGGCCCGTTGTTTGCTTGTGCTGAACTTGATGCCGCTAAAGTGTGTGAATACATATTTAACGCGAACCATGGAATCGATCGACATCAATAGATTTCCACAAACATACATTCAAATCAAGATTGTTACATTCCGTGTATCAATGTTTGCAGCAATTACAAATGCCACTCTACATTAACATACGTACTCGCAGCTAGAGGTAAAACCACTGCTATGGTACCTCTAGACATGGACATTTCTCACCACCGAGATTGAGAGGTAAAACCTTTAACGTGGCAATCCTTGCCCCCTAAAGGTTTCAACTTCTGTTAGTGTACCTCTACACATCGTCATAAACCACCAAATCTACAGTTTTAGTTTATTTTATTTGTTAAACGGATGATGTTAAACCTTTACTATGGCACGCCATACCATATAGAGGTAAAACCTCTGCTATGGTACCGCTACATAGGGTGCTACAGCTCCATGCCTGGAGGTAAAACCTTTAACATGGCAGCCTCTACCCCAGAGAGGTAAAACCTCTGCTATGGCACCTCTACACATTGTCAAGCCAAGAGGTAAAACCTTAAACATGGCAAGTGGTATCCCCTAGAGGTAAACCCTCTGCTATGGTACCACTAACCACGACCAAACGAATCAAGCCTAGAGGTAAAACCTCTAACATGGCAAGCCACGCCCTCTAGAGGTAAACCCTCTGCTATGGTACCTCTTGCCATTACCAAACGAACCAAGCCTAGAGGTAAAACCTCTAACATGACAAGGCATACCCGCTAGAGGTAAACCCTCTGCTATAGTACCTCTAGACATTATCAAACAAACCAAGCCTAGAGGTAAAACCTCTAACATGGCAAACCATACCCGCTAGAGGTAAACCCTCTGCTATGGCATCCCGGTTACAATTATAGCTCCTCCCACCCTCCTCCCCCCGCCCCTTACAAATCTCTCTTCCAATAGCAATCGCGCAATCACACCCCCCACCCCCCCCCCCACGGGAAGCGATGGCTCAGCCAATGAGAGCGCGGCTTGGGCCTTCCCGCTGCTACGGGCCCTCAGACGGCCCCGCAGGTGAAGAAGGACGAGGCCCTCTGCACCGGACTCCAGGCTCCAGGCGGCGGGCGGCGGGCGAGCGAGCGAGCGAGGGGCCCTCGGTTCCCCGCGGTCTCCGCATGCGGCCGTGAAGCGTGAGGGGCGAGCGGGCGCAGCGAGCGACGAGAGAGGTTGGCGGCGTTGCGCCTGCAAAACTGTTAACCCCCCTCACACACACACGCTACCCCCCCACACACGCACACGCGCACCCCACGCCTTAAATATAAAAACTAAAAATCGCGCTTTTGTTTGGCGCAAGCCTGAGGCCTGTGGTCGGTCTCTCTCTCTTTTATATTTTAAAAATGGGCCCTTTGCCCGTGGTGGTTGTTGGTGGTGGTGGTGGAGCGACGTGGGCTGAGCGTGCGGCACCGCCTTTGTAACGAGTGCCTCGGTTTGTTGAATAGATGATGGAGGCGCGTGTGTGTGTCTGTGTGTGTGTCTGTGTGTTCGTGTGTTTGTCTGTGTGTCTGTGTGTGTGTGTTTGTGTGTCTGTCTGTGTGTTCGTGTGTGTGTGTCTGTGTGTTCGTGTGTCTGTGTGTGTTCGTGTGTGTGTGTGTGTCGGGGTCTGTCTGTGTGTTCGTGTGTATCTGTGTGTGTGTCTGTGTGACTGTGCTCGTGTGTCTGTGTGTTCGTGTGTCTGTGTGTGTTCGTGTGTCTGTGTGTGTTCGTGTGTGTGTGTCTGTCTGTTCCTGTGTGTGTGTTTGTGTGTTCGTGTGTGTTCGTGTGTCTGTGTGTGTGTTCGTGTGTGTCTGTGTGTCTGTCTGTGTGTGTCTGCGTTCGTGTGTGTCTGTGTGTGTTCGTGTGTGTCTGTGTGTATCTGTGTGTTCGTGTGTCTGTGTTCGTGTGTATCTGTGTGTTCGTGTGTCTGTGTTCGTGTGTGTCTGTGTGTTCGTGTGTCTGTGTGTGTGGGGAGCGATGGTGTAGTGGTTAGCGCGCTACGCTGCGAACTTGGCCACCCAAGTTCGATTCCCGCTCACGGCCACCAACACAGATGACGATTCATCTGAACCGGTCCTGGGCCTCCCCTAGGTCGACTCAGCCTTCAAATTAGTACCTGGTGCGGTGTGTAGTAGACATCGCCACTGGGGAGACAAAGGCGGCTGCGCGTGTTGCCTTCACAGGTGCTGCTCGCTAACAGCACTTGCCCCTACAGTCTGTTGCAGGCTACACGGGGCATCTTTGTGGGAGCGGTGGTGCAACGGTTAGCGCGACGATCCCGGCAGGCCGGTGACGATTCATCTGAACCGGTCCTGGGCCTCCCCTGCATCGACTCGGACCTCGATTAATCGAGTGCCTCGTGGCGATTCGTAAAACAACAAAAAAAATCGCCACAGAGAGAGACAAAGGCGGCCGGGCGGGGTCGTTGACCACCCACCCCCCTCGGTGCTGCTCGCAAACAGAATTTGCCCCAACACTTCAGACGCTGTCTTTCCGACAGACCTGGTCTTCACCTGAGGACGGCTGCTTGCGTTGTGGCCGAAACGTCGTGAGAATTGTATTTTATCATGTAAAATTTTGTATTATTTTATGTTTTCCCTTCTACGTGACTTTGCCGAAAGAACCAAGAAGATTGCCACCAACAGTCTGTTAAAGGTTACCGGCAAAGTATGGCGTTTTTGGAAGCACGTCACGTCCCTTGTCTCTCTCGTGCAGTGTCCACGGAGGTTCCAACGATGGTGGATTCGAGGTTAGATGTCGATATCGTTAAGAATCATGATCTTTGTTTTAGACTGAAATCCGATGAGCTATAAAGCCCCCCCCCCCCTCACATATGTCAAGTATTGGCGGGGGGGGACATGGTTACAACATCAAACGAATACACGAAACACGATAGGAGTGTGCAAAAATAGAGATTATTGGTAAGAAAGTCGCTGATCGAGCCGTGATGCTGCTTGAATTGATGATTTGCTGGTTTTGATTGGTGACCGCCGTTCAACCATTCGATGTTTGTGTAAAGATAACTTATTGGGTCCATAGGGGGATTCTTTGTTGGGTTAGATCGCGTAAATATAAATGTGTCGTTAAACTCGCCACCACCCGACACGGCCAATTAGTGATGGGGTTGTCACGTAAATAGAACGTGCCAAATTCGTTACTAGTTCAGCACTACATTTACAATTCGAACTCGTAACTAATTGGCACTTTTTGTTTACGTGACACACCTTACTAATTGGCTGTGTCGGGTGGTGGCGGGTTTAACGACACATTCATATTGATGCGATCTAACCCCCCCAAAAAAACCTTTGATGGATAATATTGGTCGTGAAAGCCTACTGTGTGTTAAACTCACTTATTGGGGTGTATAAAATCGTTTTTGTTTCATGATTGTTGTGAGATATTAACTTCACTTCGACATTAGCCCAGTGAGATGAGTTCTTATTTTAAGAATCGAGTTAACGGTGCATTTTGCCATGCGTAGCCTCTTGTAATCGGCGCCCTTTTATTTAACCACCGAAAGCTTTTTGCGTTGATTCGTTGGTCCCTTTTCAATAGCCTGACGTGTAATGTACACGAACTCACAGCAATAATAACATTGAAGTGTATATTCATAAGCTTTTTGACACGCTACGGCAGCCCTTGATTGAACCATTTCAGTTTTAGCTCAGCAATTTGTTGACATTTTCAATGTGCAGGTAACTACTAATTCTTACCACTTCATGTGTTTCACCTTCAGTCTGTCTGGTGTACTGTGAGCCCCAGTGATATTTCCTCATTGAAGTAATTTAACCCCATTGAGATTCTATGTTGGTGTTTATTATTCAACCATTGTGGCTTATGGCCGGTAATTAGTTGATGTTTTTCTATGTACCCCCAAGTGTCTTGTTTCATAACTATTACCTGAAGTTTGATTTACTACTCTGAGCCCACGGAGTAATTCTAGATATTGAGATTCATTGCATGAAGTGGGGCCCCATTATTTAACCAACTGATGTGTTACCATCGTAGGTTGTTGGTGTTTTGCAATACAGTATCTAATTGTGTTCTACTTGATGTACGAACCCTCTATTTAGTACAATTTCTTTTGTAAACTAGTTGAACTTTCTGAAATGTTTTTATTCTCTTTGGGAAAACATTGAGATTGGTTTTGACCGTACAGTGTTTAGATTGGCAGGTGCCCCTTTTACCAGTCGAGACGTGTGGGTTATTAGTATCACCACGTGGCTTTATAATTAAGTTGAATGATTTATCAATCTCACAATTTCAAACATTGCAGTGCAGGACCCTCCTGAAAATTCGTCTTCAGGACCCAATGCAGCTTTTTTCTTGGCTGGGTAAATAAGAAAATATATTTCTGTTATTAGACCATCGGAACCGGTTGAAGTTTGCTTTCTTTCCGTGCCAGTTACTCGTGCGATTTTATTGAGGTGTGCCAATCTGCCCGTGCCTTTTTTTTAAACCATAGATTACTACAAGCCGTGGTTTTTTTCGCCGCTGGATGAAGGCCTCTTATCATGACATTGTCACCCATCCCCCGAGCGGTCCTGCACTCACGCAATCCATCGTAATCCTGCCCAAGAACCGATATCTCATCGCGCCATCCCTGCCGTGGTCGGCCCCCTCAAACCCACGTTTCTCCTTTCGCTGCCATTCACCCACCAGTCTCAAACAATCGGCTATGATCCATCATCATCGTCTTCATCATCGTTAGATATTCATGCTGTGTCTCCCGTGCGGAGGCGGTCTCGAGAAGTGTGCGTGGTGGTGGTGGTGGCGTCATCACGCACGTGACGCCACCCACAGCGCTTGAGCCCGGTTCCTACGTCGTACTGACGTCACGCCTGCCCCCCACCCACCAGCTATTGGAGAGCTGCAGTGGCCTGTATGTCGGAGTTGTTGACGCCATGGGAAGGCCTTCATCCAACAGCGGCTCGACCATGGCTGACAGTGGTGTACTTACTTGACCGTGTCAAGCCCACTATGATACTGTGATAAGTGGGTATCTAATTATGCCCAAATGCTATGCAGGCTCGCTAATGTATTCCGCTGAGATTCATTGTCTTTTAATTGATGTCCTTTGTTTAGCCATGTGAGAATCCATGAAGGAGTATTATTATTTTTTATTATCCGTGCACTCTTTAACCAACTTCGAATTGATGTTATCTCTATTCAGCGCTCAAGGAGAATAACAATATTTAAATTCGTGCCCATTATTAGGTCTGTCAAGCTTTGTGAACTTCAAAGAGTGGTTTTTACCACGTTCCATTCGTCCAATATGTGCACAGGTCGCTTGCATCACAGCTCGGCTAGGACAACATGACACCAGCAAGCGCGTGTTCACAAAGGGTGATTTACACAGCCACCGACGGCTTGTAACGAACGTCGCACGCACTGCACGTGACAGCCGCAGTGGCGCAGGTGTCCCGGGCCTCGGACACGCAGCCACTGCGTGGAAGAGGCACGCTGCCCTCAGGCTTGTTTGCCACGTGGCCATTATGACACCGTCCCCGTTGATGAAATGTATCAGTGGGTCTCGGCCTTATTGCTACGGCGTCCCCCCCCCCCCCCCCCGCAATTAAAACCACTTGTACCTCGCGCAACCCAACCCCGCCGTGCGCAAGCAGCCGCTTGCCTTTTTCCCGGGGCATCACCAACAATGGCCATTGTGAGCCACCACCCACCCACCTTGCACGACGCCCGCTTCCCCCAGAGTCGTCAACCCACTTGTGCTGCCCTTGACCTCCTCACTCCCGTCTCCTCTCTCTCTCTCTCTCTCTGTCCGTGGCTCCTCCAGGTAGAGGAGGATGGATGGGCTGATGGCGAACCCCACCCTCGTCACGCTCTTTGCAGACGACGACGTCTCAAAGGAGAGCACCGACCTCGCAGTCGACGCCTCGTGAGTTTCCTCCAAAAGTTTAATGGCTGAACAAATCTTGTTGTTTTTTCGTACGGCTGATGCAGACGCAGGACAGCAACAGCTACAATTTCACGTTCGGGTGGTCAAGCCGCACAAACCGCGTCGGGAGCGGCGGCGGAGTGTTATCGCCGTGATGTCTCCTTCGTATCTGTGGGTCTCGGTGCATTGCGTCGTTATACGTTGTATGGTCTGTTGAAGAGTTTTTAATTTTCCATTTGTGCATCGTCAGGTATCTGCATCAGCCCTAGTTGGTGCGGGTGCTGTTTGCGGTGGACCATGAGTGAATAAATAATAATGAATTAAAAAACCCGCTGGCAGTGGTGCACAATTAGCACTAAGCTCAACACGTTTGTCAACAACACTGCGACGTGTGCAGATGACACGGCGATGCCGCGTACTCGCTGCGTACCGACCAACGTCACTTGTGGTGAACGAGCGGAGACGCGCGTGGGTGATGTAATCAATACATCTCCAGCGGCCCCTACCGCCCGCGCCCTCACGCCCGCGCGCGTGTCGCCCGCGATCTGCCGCTCGCGCGCCTGCAGGTTGCCGGCCGGGGAGGGCGCGTTTGCAGGCAACGTCTCCCAGGCGCTGGCGAGCCCCGAGTTTGCGGAGGACGTGTCCCACGCGCAGCTCCCGCAGAACGAGTCTCCGCACGGCGGCGAGGCCACGGAGCCGCGCGCCGAGGAGGAGGTACAAACGGCGGCGGCGTCCGCCCCCCCCCCCCCTTTCCTCCGCTGCCGCCGCTGTGTTTATTCGTTTCGCCGCATCGCAAGGCCCCAACAGGCCACTTGGCCCCCCCTTGGAGCCCCCCCCTCCCCCCCCCGGGCGGCCTTCAGTGCGGCCACCTGACGTGCTGCCCTCCCGGACAATACGCAAATGGTGACAACGCCTCCCATCATCGTTGTGCTGCTGTCAATCCCCCAACCCCCCCATCGCCGTGCGCATCTTGACACCGCCACCGATAGCGACGTCGTGATGTCGCCGCCGCCCCTAACGCCCGCCCCCCCGTCCGCGCGCTCGCTGCCTCTCCTTGTCCCCACCGCCACCCCCCCCCCCCCTCCGCAACCCGCCCTTGCCTTGCGCCCCGTGTCACCGGCGGCGCCAGCCGCAGCAGCGCGTGGTGAAGAAGGGCGGCTGGCCCAAGGGGAAGAAGCGCAAGAAGACGGGACGCGACACTAACGCCCCGCGGGCGCCGCTCACGGGCTACGTGCGCTTCCTGAACGAGCGGCGGGAGCAGGTGCGCGCCGAGAACCCCGAGGTCTCCTTCCCCGAGATCACGAGAATGCTCGGCAACGAGTGGAGCAAGTTGCCCGCGCAGGAGAAGCAGGTGCCCCCCCCCCCCACCGCCCCCCGCACACACCACCACCCCACCACCACCAACAACGTTGCCCATCACCACCACCACTTGCCTACACAGGCATACCACGTTTAGCGCAAAGGATGCGTTCTTGGTCAAACGGAGCGCTATACCAAGCGGTGCTATCGGAGGTCACTATGGTTCCAATGTATATGCGTTACCAGCAGCGCTATTTGTTTAGACCTATGAGCCATATTTGAGGGCTTCATTGGGGTGGGGCACCACGGTGGCGAGATGTTAGCGACCTCGCTTGGTATACAGGAGGTCATGGGATTCAATCCTGACCCTGATGCCTGCTGTATGTTTTTAGTTTGCGTGTCTCTCTCCCCGTGGTGATTGCGTGGATCTTTCTCCCAGTCGTCTGGTTTTTCCCTCCACATTTAGAATCGACGCGCATCGGAGTTATTTGGCTGCTATAAATTTCCACGCGATAAGCCACTTCGTTGATTGCCAGGTCGCTTCTGAATAAGTAATATTTAAAAATACTTTTTTTTAAAACACGCTTTAATGAAATGTACCGTACGAGTAATGGCAGAACTCCACGACTCCAGGAAGTGGGCCCGCAGCTTGCCACAGCGTCAGAGAGCCCCCCCCAACTCCGAGCTGCCCCTCCCCCCCCTGCCCCCTTCCCTCATCGCCCCTCTCCTCCTTCCACAACCCCCACCCCTCGGCGTGGCTCTTCGAGGTTTGCCCGTAAGGGACCGTGGTGATTTACAGCCAACGTGAGTTGAGCGTGGACAATTAGAGCCGTAAAAATGATCGTTTAAATTTTTTTTTACATAGGTATGACATAGGTATTTCAAGTTTGCAGTCGATATGACATTGGGAAGACGGTTGAAATTGAGTCACAAGATTTTTTGAGGATACGACAACAGACTGAGTGAGTTAAATAAAAGCGTGTAAAAAGAGCTCTATAGCATGGTGGGCTTTACCTGGTAAAATAAAAACTTGTATTAGTCTGGTAGTTTAGTTTTATAGGAGGTTATTATCACGTGGTTCCAATGGAGATTCGTTACCAACAGCGCTATATTGTTGTTACCGATGAGCAATACATGAGGGCTTCATCGGGGTGTCGGCAGTTGCCTTAATAATGATACTGTATGCATGCTAAATGTAATAAAGCGTTTTAGAAATTAAATATAATAACTTCTTATGATAATAACATGAAAAATACAATAAGTTACGTACTCACCATTCGGTCGGAGCTTGCGCAAGATTAACCGTCTGCTGTAGACGCACGTTCCGCGCGAAGTCATACTAACCAACGAGATTACTCGATCCACGGATCGCTAATGCATCGACGCACTGATTATCCCTCGATTAATTGATACTCTGCTCGACTGAGCAGAATCGATACAATAGACGGCTCCTTTCAGGTTCCGCAAAGACCATATATGGGTAGAGACGCGACCCCTACAGGCAAGGCCACGCCTACTTTCTTCCATATATGGGTAGAGACGCGACCCCTACAGGCAAGGCCACGCCTACTTTCTTCCATATATGGGTAGAGACACGACCCCTACAGACAAGGCCACACCTACTTTCTTCCATATATGGGTAGAGACATGACCCCTACAGGCAAGGCCACGCCTACTTTCTTCCATATATGGGTAGAGACGCGACCCCTACAGGCAAGGCCACGCCTACTTTCTTCCATATATGGGTAGAGACACGACCCCTACAGACAAGGCCACACCTACTTTCTTCCATATATGGGTAGAGACATGACCCCTACAGGCAAGGCCACGCCTACTTTCTTCCATATATGGGTAGAGACGCGACCCCTACAGGCAAGGCCACGCCTACTTTCTTCCATATATGGGTAGAGACGTGACCCCTACAGGCAAGGCCATACCTACTTTCTTCCATATATGGGTAGAGACGCGACCCCTACAGACAAGGCCATACCTACTTTCTTCCATATATGGGTAGAGATGTGACCCCTGCAGGCAAGGCCACGCCTACTTTCTTCGATATATGGGTAGAGACATGACCCCTACAGGCAAGGCCACGCCTACTTTCTTCCATATATGGGTAGAGACGCGACCCCTACAGACAAGGCCACACCTACTTTCTTCCATATATGGGTAGAGATGTGACCCCTGCAGGCAAGGCCATGCCTACTTTCTTCCATATATGGGCTGAACCCCGCACGAATTTTCCTCCCAGGACGAAGGGCGTGATAAGGAAACGTGGTTATTAGAGGCAGCGCTATAAGACGTAAACCTGTACGTTATGATATACTCGTTATACTCCTTAACATCGTTTCGTAATCCGTCGCCAAATCGGTGTCGAATGAAGCGGAGTATTTTTACACGGAGGCTTTCGCGACCAGTATTCATGATGAAGGTTTTCTTGTCGTGTTACATCACGTAAATGTGTCGTAAAACCGACCAAATCGACGAATCGGCCTCGTCATGTAGAGGCGGGTTTACGACGCACTTTTGAATTTCACGCGATCTAACCCAAACAAACACCTCTACTATTCTTAATTTTGGAGCTTTCGTGACTGCAGGAATTATTCTTTGGTTCTTTCGGTTAAGTCACGTCTAAAGATAAAATAATAAATTAAAATAATAGCATATTACGACGTTTCGATTGCAACACAAGCAATCATCATCAGGCTTAAAAGAAATAGCAACAAAAAATCTAACTAGAAAACTATAGACAGACATACAAGCAGACAGACATCACAAGGGCACACAGAGAGAGGACACATATCGGCACAAAGAGAGGGGTCGTTTCTGTGACGGTCCCTTAAATATAGAGAGGGGGGGCGGGGACGGAGAGAGGGAGGGGGCAGAGAAAATTAGCATAACTATTGTGAACAAAAATAACGAAATTAGTTTGATAGTTTTTTCTTTTAGTACAATGGTACGGTCCGATCAGCTATCGTACCGACGTGTCCCGCCAGAGGTACTTGGACGAGGCGGACAAGGACAAGGAGCGATACATGAAGGAGCTGGAGAAGTACCAGCAGACGGAGTCCTACAAGATCTTCAACCGCAAGACGCACGAGAAGAAGCAGAAAAAAGGTAACTCCCCCCCCCCCCCGCCCCGACCCCCCCCCCCACCATCTCTTAGTTTAGGAAGAAACGATCAAACTTTTTCCTTAAATAGCCTGGCTCCCCGTGCTGGCAAACAACACCACCTGCCGCCCCCCCCCCACCCCCGACATATCCGGAGACTGGCAATAACCACCCACAAAATGATTGAAAAGTCCTCAACGCCCGACACACACCCCCGGCTCCACGGGGACCTCTTGAGCCCACCAAAGGTCACGCCTCCCCCTCAAGAGAGCCGATTGGGAAAGGCCGAGCCACCCACTCACTCACCCAGCCACCCACTCACTCACCCAGCCACCCACTCACTCACTCACTCAGCAACCCACTCACTCACCCAGCCACCCACTCACTCACCCAGCCACACACTCACTCACTCAGCAACCCACTCACTCACCCAGCCACCCACTCACTCACCCAGCCACACACTCACTCACTCAGCCACCCACTCACTCACCCAGCCACCCACTCACTCAGCAACCCACTCACTCACTCAGCCACCCACTCACTCACCCAGCCACCCACTCACTCACCCAGCCACCCACTCACTCACCCAGCCACCCACTCACTCACCCAGCCACCCACTCACTCACCCACTCACCCACTCAGCCACCCACTCACTCACCCAGCCACCCACTCACTCACCCACCCACCCACTCAGCCACCCACCCACTCACTCAGCAACCCACTCACTCACCCAGCCACCCACTCACTCACCCAGCCACACACTCACTCACTCAGCAACCCACTCACTCACCCAGCCACCCACTCACTCACCCAGCCACCCACTCACTCACCCAGCCACACACTCACTCACCCAGCCACTCACTCACTCACTCAGCCACACACTCACTCACCCAGCCACACACTCACTCACTCAGCAACCCACTCACTCACCCAGCCACCCACTCACTCACCCAGCCACACACTCACTCACCCAGCCACCCACTCACTTACTCAGCAACCCACTCACTCACCCAGCTACCCACTCACTCACTCAGCAACCCACTCACTCACCCAGCTACCCACTCACTCACTCAGCAACCCACTCACTCACCCAGCCACCCACTCACTCACCCAGCCACACACTCACTCACTCAGCAATCCACTCACTCACTCAGCAACCCACTCACTCACCCAGCCACCCACTCACTCACTTAGCAACCCACTCACTCACCCAACCACCCACTCACTCACCCAGCCACCCACTCACTCACCCAGCCACCCACTCACTCACCCAGCCACCCACTCACTCACTCAGCCACACACTCACTCACCCAGCCACCCACTCACTCACCCAGCCACCCACTCACTCAGCAACTCACCCACCCAGCCACCCACTCACTCAGCAACTCACTCACCCAGCCACCCACTCACTCACCCAGCCACCCCACTCACTCACCCAGCCACACACTCACTCACTCAGCAACCCACTCACTCACCCAGCCACCCACTCACTCACCCACTCACCCACTCACTCACCCACTCAGCCACCCACTCACTCACCCAGCCACCCACTCACTCACCCAGCCACACACTCACTCACTCAGCCACCCACCCCCCCCACCTCCGCGCACTCCGGTGAGCACGGTTGGCTACGTACGGTGCGAAAGAAGTTCGACGTACGTACGAGGGCACCAGCAAGAGGCGCACGAGCCACGTGGGAGCCGTGGACGGATGATTTCTGCCGGAATGACAGCGGTCCACCACTAGAGGGCAGCGTCGCCTGGGTTACCGTAGGAGGTAGAGATCCTGACGAGGGAACGCGTTCCTGCGACTGCGATCGCTCTGAACGGGAAGGGTGGTGGGGGGGGGGGGAGCATTGGTTATACTGTATGTACAGTAAGTCCCCATTTAACGCGGAAGTTGACGGGTTTCTGTAAAGTTTCGCGTTCAGCGGAAAAAAAAAACGCGTGAAGCGAAAACAATCTCCCCGTAAGTGATGTAATAACGGTGAAGTTTGGCGAGGTACGATGTACCACTGCTACGCACACCGCGCAGTGAGATGGCGGGGCAAATAACCTGGGTACGCGGCCATCGCGAGACCGCATCATTCCGCGTTACCGTATCGCCGTACCACTTGGCCGCACAGATCAATGAAATTCTAGATTTGAAGTTTTCGTGACTGAAAGGATTCATACTCTTAGGGTTTTTCGGTAAAGTCACATAGGTAAAAAATAAAATAAAAATTAATAAAAGTAAAATACAACACAAGTAAAGTACTTGATATAGCAATCGTGCTGTAACGGTTCCACCTGAAGACGGAAGCTTGTGTTGCCTCCGAAACGTCGTGATTTTTTATTTTACTTTTATTAATTTAAATTAAATTTTTACCTACGTGACTTTACCGAAAACACCTAAGAGAAGCTCAATGAAAGTTGTTTGTCGGATCGAAACCGCGGACGCGCGAAGCGAGGGCTCGCCGGTACGGTAACGCTGCACGGGGGCGGGGGGGAGACTGCATCATGGGAGCGAGTCGGTGGGGCAACGCCCGTCCTATCCGCTGTTGCCGAATGACGTCGACTTTTGGCCTGTTGTTGTGTTTCTTCCCCTTTCCCGCAGAGGAACCTTGTTCTGTTAATGGCTCGTCAAATGAGGTACGGTGGATTGGTTCTCTTGCTCCCTTGTCCGTCGGGCTCGGGTGAGCGGTGGGTGGACGGTGTTCGGGGGGGGACGAATTAACGACGAGTTTCTGTATCGGTGTGTTCGCTTTGTGGACTTTGCTTACCCTGCAAATCGTCGAACGCCCATTGGTTCACTCCACGCTAGTAGCTCAGTGGACCTTATCTGGTAAAATAAAAAAGAATCGGTAACTCGATCCATTCACGCAAAAAAACTAAAACAATAAAATGCATTTTATTGTTTGATAGAATTTTTTATTGTTTTATATATTTTTTATTTTATTGTTTCCCTTCTACGTGGCTTTACTGAAAGAACCAAGAATATGAATCCCTGCAGTTACGAAAGCTTTAAATAAAAATGTATTATGTAGTTTATTCTGTATTATGTAGTTTGGTAAACTCGCACGCATTTACATTTGGGCAGTTTCACCAGCTTTGGTTTAAAGCGTGTGCTTGAATCTGCCCATAAGACACTGAACGTTGAAACTGGTTCTCAGTTTTGTAACCAAACCAATTCCGCTGGAACTATACAGCCCCAGAAGAGCCTTATGGATAATGGTATGTTTAACCAAAGATATGCTTTACTATACCAAGGCGAGGGATTTAACATCTCGACACGGCGGATCTATTTGTGTGACATTCATCGTCATCTTTGTGTATCCCTCTTGTCAAAGGCTTTGGCCTTGAGCTTCGCCGGCATCCGTAAACGTCATCCCTTCTGCCCATCGTGTTGTTGGAGTGAAACCCGCCTTATGGAGTCGCGTCGATTGTACCCCCCACCGGCGCTTCTTAGTTTAGTTTTAGTCATTCCCCGATGTGGTGTGGTGTTGTGTTTTTATCCTTTCAGAACGAAGACGAATCGAGAGACAAGCTGTCGGTATTTGACATACCGATTTTCACGGAAGAATTTCTCGACCACAACAAAGGTAACTCTTTCCGCTCGCCCGCTCCTGGCAAACGTTGTGCCCCAGGCACTTTTAAATCATCATCTACATTGACAAACTCGTTTTCTTTTAGAACTGCATTTTTGCGTGTTTAGCTCGTTGTCCTAAACCATCAAACACATTTATTTTAAATGTAATACCACCTCCACTCAAGGGGGTATCAAAGAATTGTACACTAAAACAAAATGCTGAGACAATAAAATCATGTTTAAGTAAAACCCACGAGAAAATAATGCACTCTTAAACACACCGAGGCTCGTAGCGTGCCGGATCATCGCTGGCAAGGAATTCCAGGGACTTGGGGCAACACTTGAGAAGGCCCGTACCCCAGCGTCGAGCGCAAGAGCCGATGCAGGGAGGGTGTAGTCGTAAGGTCCTACTCTGAAGAGCGTGGAGTGTAAACCACAGTCGTCTGAGAGATCAGTCGCCCGCACGCTCGGATTAGCACGGTTGGCCACGTACGCTGCGAAAATAAGCTCAACATACGTACGTACAACTCATTCATTGGCTGACGACGCCTTAATCTGTGTAGAGGGCCCCAGAGCTTGGGCAATTGTTGGCGCCGGCTCTCACCGCGTGGGCCGCCTTTGCCTGCTTGTCTGTGGCTTCTCATCGTGACCTCGACTCTCGCCGCAACGCTGAGCCCCCGCCCACTTGTTCACGGACTCGCACTGACCAGCGCGGCCAAGTGCGGTCAAACAAACAGCCGGCGACCAACGCGGTCTCGAGACGGTCTTCATCCGGCATCGAGTTGACAAAAGGGGCCGTGATGATGCCCCGTTCGTTCCAGAGCTCGGTCGCTCGGTTTACTCGCCTGTGCAGCCTCCCACTCACCTGTGCAGCCTCCCACTGGCCTGTACAGCCTCCCACTGGCCTGTACAGCCTCCCACTCGCCTGTGCAGCCTCCCACTGGCCTGTAAAGCCTCCCACTGGCCTGTACAGCCTCCCACTGGCCTGTGCAGCCTCCCACTCGCCTGTGCAGCCTCCCACTCGCCTGTGCAGCCTCCCACTGGCCTGTGCAGCGACGCTCTCAGCCTGGCTGAGCTCCCTCCATCTCTCGCGCTCACTCGACCCCGCGCACCAACAGCCCGGCCGGCCGGCCGAGCAACCAGCCGATCGACCGACATCTCCCCACTTCTTCGTCGTTGCACCCACGTTCCCCCCCCCCCCCGCCCCGCCCCCCCCCAGCGCGGGAGGCAGAGCTGCGGCAGCTGCGCAAGACGAACACGGAGTACGAGGAGCAGAACGCGATCCTGCAGAAGCACATTGAGAACATGCGCGCCGCCGTGGAGCGGCTGGAGCGCGACGTGAACGCGGAGCGCGTGCACAACCTGGCGCTGCACCAGCATCTGGAGGCGCTGCGGCACGCGCTCACCAACGGCTTCTCCGCCGTGCCGCTGCCCGGTACCGTCTGCCGCCCCGGCGCCGCCTTCGGCGTCTGGCCGGTTGAATACGTGGGGGGACGGGAGGGGGGGGGGGCGCCAGGGTGGCGTAAATGTTAACTGCCTCGCCTGGTATACGGGATGTCGTGGGTTCGACCCTGGCGCCTGCTGCTGTATATATGGAGTTTGCGTGTCTCTCTCTCTCTCTGCGTGGTCGTGTGGATTTTTCACCGATTTTTCTCGGTTTTTCCATCCACATTTAGAATCACGCGTTTTAGAGTATTGGGCTGCTATAAATTCCCGCGCGATGAGGATGGTTGAGCCACTTCGTTGGGCTTGACAGCCTTGTCGCTTCTGACAAAGAGACACATTGCAGCACAGTGGTTGTTCGGTGTGTGGGGAGTGGTGGCGCTGTCATGAATTGGGAACGAGTGGCTGGCACTCTTAACACTTCATTCTTTCACTTTACAATCGAGCCGAATATTTTTTAACTGGTTGTGGGCCTCCCCCCGTAGGTCGACCGAGCCTCTCAATGAGTACCCGGTGCGGTGTGTAAACGTCTGGGAGATGAGCTCTTCCGGCCTTCGTGGGTGCTCCTAACAGCACAGTTTGTTCAGGCTCTACGGGGGGGAGGGGGAGAGTGGGAAGGGTCTCCTTTGTCTCTGTGCGCGTGCGTGTCTGCTCGCAATCATTGTTGACGCTTGTGTGTGTGTGTGCGCGCTGGCGGCAGGCTCTGGCGAGACGCCGACGCTGGAGACGATCGACTCGTACATGACGAAGCTGCACAACATCATCCTGGCGAGCCCGCAGGAGAACGAGGGCCTCCTGGCCACGGTGCGCGACGTGGTGTCCCGCCTTGACAGGTGAAGCCTTCGCAGCGCCAGAGACTCGCTGGCGACTCCTCACCAAGACCCCTCGGGACGACCCCACGGGAACCCCACGGGAACCCCTCGTGACCCCTAGCGATCACCCCTCGTGAACCCCTCTTGACCCCTCGTGACCCCTCGTGACCCCTTGTAACTCCTCGTGACCCGCTACGACTTCTCGTGACGACCCCTCGTGACGACCCCTCGTGACGACCCCTCGTGACGACCCCTCGTGACGACCCCTCGTGACGACCCCTCGTGACGACCCCTCGTGACGACCCCACGTGAACCCTACGGGAACCCCTCATGACCCCTAGCGATAACCCCTCGTGAACCCCTCTTGACCCCTCGTGACCTCTCGTGACCTCTCGTGACCCCTCGTGACCCCTTGTAACTCCTCGTGACCCCCCGCTACGACCCCCCCCGCTACGACCCCCCCCGCTACGACCCCCCCCCCCCCGCTACGACCCCCTCCCCGCTACGACCCCCAACGCTACGACCCCTCGTGGCGACCCCTCGTGACGATCCCCCGCGACCCGTCCCCGTGACCCCCCCCATACCCCCCCCCCGCACCCCCCCCCCCCGCATCCCCCCCCCCCCCGCATACCCCCCCACATCCCCTCATGCAAACCCCCGCCCGCACAATAGTCGCCCGCTAACGGCACCCCTAACGGCGCGCTGCAAGACGGCCAGTGACGTCCCAACCAGTCTTGGGCCTCCCTGAGGGCGACAGGCCCTTACATTGGTCCCTGCTGCTGCAAGTGCCTAAAACATCGACGGCAGTGGGGAGAGGAAGGTGGCCTGGCATGGTGGCTACCGACAGGACCACCCCGGTGTTCGTGAGCTACCGGCGGGCCTTCGTAGCGATTCGACAGTAACTCTCGTCCCCCGACGGATACCGCTGATCAACGATTGATTTCTGTCCTCTCTGTGCGCCGCGTGTGTTCAGTGACAAGCTTTGAAATGCAAGGGACGCTCCGACGGGCTTTTGGGGAGGGAAGAAAAGAAAGTCACATGCTGGGTTTTCCATGAAGCGCTCTCATCGTGATCTTTGAAGAGAAAGGATGCATTCTGGATATATGTATAAAAATACACAACGGAAAAATGAGAACAAAAAAATGGCAACGGCTTAAACAAAAAAGAAATGCTGACAGCTGCGACGACGTATTTGCCCGTTGGCGGAAGTCGACGATGAAATATCAATGGAATTTTCCACGGAGGACTTTTCACGGCAAAAAAAAATAATGTCTCGGAGAAACACCGTCGGCTCGGTCCGCTGAAGAATTTTCGTCCGATGACACTGGTCAACACACTTTTTCTGGCAAAAGGTATTCCAACGGTTTGAAGGTAATTTTGGGGTGCTGATTCCAAATCTGGCATTAGTTTTTGTCTATAACATCAGGTTTTTGAGATATCAAATATTGCATTTTCAATAAAAACTGCAGAAGAAAAATATTAAATAAATGTGGATATCTACATAAAATGATATTATAAACACACTATCCTAAAAATACAGCACCATATTTTAACACTAAAGCAGTCACTGACTCGCAACAACTTGCAATCATAAGTGACAGAGTTAATTTCGGGTAAAATCAATGAAAATGGGGTATGCCGATAGCATAAAAATGAGATGCGATAGAGCAAATCTGAGATCAGATTTGGAATCAGCACCCTGAAATTAGTCTAAAACAGCTGCAAAAGTCCAGGCCAGAAATTTTTTTTTTCGTTGACCAGTGTTATTAGAATCCTTGGCTTGGGGCCCGTTACCAGAGCGTGATACTGCTGCATCTCATCGCAAAGCACCGCGCTCCTTGCAGCCAATGCAGACCCAGTCGAGTCTTAATGCAGAAGCCCCCTCGTCTGATCCAAAGCAGCACTTGTGGTCATCCGATACAGAACCCCCTCACCCTGTCCCACACAGAACCCCCTCGCCCTGTCCCATACAGAACCCCCTCACCCTGTCCCATACAGAACCCCCTCACCCTGTCCCATACAGAACCCCCTCACCCTGTCCCACACAGAACCCCCTCACCCTGTCCCATACAGAACCCCCTCTCCTTGTCCCACACAGAACCCCCTCGTCCTGTCCCACACAGAACCCCCTCACCCTGTCCCACACAGAACCCCCTCACCCTGTCCCATACAGAACCCCCTCACCCTGTCCCACACAGAACCCCCTCACCCTGTCCCACACAGAACCCCCTCCCCCTGTCCCATACAGAACCCCCTCACCCTGTCCCACACAGAACCCCCTCGCCCTGTCCCACACAGAACCCCCTCACCCTGTCCCACACAGAACCCCCTCACCCTGTCTCACACAGAACCCCCTCTCCCTGTCCCACACAGAACCCCCTCACCCTGTCCCACACAGAACACCCTCGCCCTGTCCCACACAGAACCCCCTCACCCTGTCCCACACAGAACCCCTCGTCCTGTCCCATACAGAACCCCCTCACCCTGTCCCACACAGAACCCCCTCACCCTGTCCCATACAGAACGCCCTCTCCCTGTCCCACACAGAACCCCCTCACCCTGTCCCACACAGAACACCCTCACCCTGTCCCACACAGAACCCCCTCGTCCTGTCCCACACAGAACCCCCTCACCCTGTCCCACACAGAACCCCCTCGCCCTGTCCCATACAGAACCCCCTCACCCTGTCCCACACAGAACCCCCTCGTCCTGTCCCATACAGAACCCCCTCACCCTGTCCCACACAGAACCCCCTCACCCTGTCCCATACAGAACGCCCTCTCCCTGTCCCACACAGAACCCCCTCACCCTGTCCCACACAGAACACCCTCACCCTGTCCCACACAGAACCCCCTCACCCTGTCCCACACAGAACCCCCTCGTCCTGTCCCACACAGAACCCCCTCACCTTGTCCCACACAGAACCCCCTCACCCTGTCCCATACAGAACCCCCTCTCCCTGTCCCACACAGAACCCCCTCGTCCTGTCCCACACAGAACCCCCTCGTCCTGTCCCACACAGAACCCCCTCACCCTGTCCCACACAGAACCCCCTCACCCTGTCCCATACAGAACGCCCTCTCCCTGTCCCACACAGAACCCCCTCACCCTGTCCCACACAGAACACCCTCGCCCTGTCCCACACAGAACCCCCTCACCCTGTCCCACACAGAACCCCCTCGTCCTGTCCCACACAGAACCCCCCTTACCCTGTCCCACACAGAACCCCCTCACCCTGTCCCATACAGAACCCCCTCTCCCTGTCCCACACAGAACCCCCTCGTCCTGTCCCACACAGAACCCCTCACCCTGTCCCACACAGAACCCCCTCACCCTGTCCCATACAGAACCCCCTCACCCTGTCCCACACAGAACCCCCTCACCCTGTCCCACACAGAACCCCCTCACCCTGTCCCACACAGAACCCCCTCACCCTGTCCCACACAGAACCCCCTCGCCCTGTCCCACACAGAACCCCCTCTCCCTGTCCCACACAGAACCCCCTGTCCCATACAGAACCCCCTCACCCTGTCCCACACAGAACCCCCGTTTAATCTGATGCAGAGCCCTCGTCTCACTTGGGTGCCTTAGTTTGTTGGCTCACCACTGGCCACTTCCGAGCCAAACCAGCGTGGCAGGGGGGGGGGCGGGTGGCGCCCCACTCCCCTCTGCTCCCCCCCCCCCCCACAGTACAGGTGGGGGGGGGGGCAGGTGGCGCCCCACTCCCCTCTGCTCCCACCCCCCCCACGGTACAGGTGGGGGGGGGTTTCCGCTTGGCTATTTTTGACGCCCACCAAGCCGGAAACGAACCGGGGCCACGGTTGGTTCTCGCAAGAAGCCGCCTGGATCTTTGTTGGAGCGGAGAGCCGGTGACGACGCGTTCATCGTGCGTGGTGCTGGTCGGTCGGTTGATTGGTCGATCGGTCTGTCGATCGGTCGATTGGTTTGTCCATCGGTCGGTCTGTCCATCGATCGGTCGGTCGATTGGTTTGTCCATCGATCGGTCTGTCCATCGATCGGTCGGTCGATTGGTTTGTCCATCGATCGGTCGATTGGTCTGTCCATCGATCGGGTGATTGGTCTGTCCATCGGTCGGTCGGTCGATCGGTCGGTTGGTCTGTCCATCGATCAGTCGATTGGTCTGTCCATTGATCGGTCTGTCCATCGATCGGTCGGTTGGTCTGTCCATCGATCGGGTGATTGGTCTGTCCATCGGTCGGTCGGTCGATCGGTCGGTTGGTCTGTCCATCGATCGGTCGGTTGGTCTGTCCATCGATCGGTCGGTTGGTCTGTCCATCGATCAGTCGATCGGTCTGTCCATCGATCGGTCTGTCCATCAGTCGGTTGGTCTGTCCATCGATCAGTCGATTGGTCTGTCCATCGATCGGGCGATTGGTCTGTCCATCGGTCGGTCGATCGATCGGTCGGTTGGTCTGTCCATCGATCAGTCGATCGGTCAGTCCATCGGCCGGTCAGTCGGTCTGTCCGTCGGTCGATCGGTCTGTCGATTGATCATTTGGTCGTCCAGCCGGCTGGTTTGTTCGATCGATCGGTCTGTCGATTGATCATTTGGTCGTCCAGCCGGCTGGTTTGTTCGATCGGTCGGTCAGTCGATTGATCGGTCGATGGGTCGGTTGGCTTGTTCGGTCGATCGGTCGGTGGGGGCGCCGCGAGGACACGGCGTGGCGCGTGCGCGACGTCGTTGGCAGTGCCCAGCGCCACTTTTCGGAACTTCCGGTGCACCGTGCAGCGGCCAGAATTGCCCAACCCCCTGCCCCCCCCCCCCCCCCCCCCCCAACGGCCATGGCTCGCTCGCTTTAAAAGTGTAAAATAACGAAGTATTCGGATGCCGGCCACTCGTCACCAAACCCATCGTAGCCCTACACAATCGACTTGTTTGTTCGTCGTCAACGGGGTTAGCTGGTCCTGGCACCGGTGATGTTGGACTCCAGCCGTGTCCTCTTGAACCACCTGGCCACCGCTAACGCAGAGGAGCAGCTGCTTGGACCTGCTATGAAGGGGGTTCATTTCTCTTTCTTAGTTCATTTTTTTTAATCTCGGAAAGGCTTTTTTTTTTGTAACAGTGTTGTCGCGTGGATGGTTTTAATTACAATTGTTTCTTCATAACTGTTGGCGTCTCGTTTTTTTTTATCGGAGATATTACATAATTTGTACATTTTATTTCGGCGAGTGGCTTTTGATCGACGGCTTCTGTCAAAATAGCGCAATTCTATATTTTCTCTCGGCATACGTTGTTTGTTTTCTAACAAACGATCTGACGGTGGGTGTTGTTTCAAAACTTAAAGATGTTTTAAAAATAACTGTCCCAAAGGTGTCATTATTTTTTTTTTTTATCGAGGCAATTGCACGGGGCGGTTACGTCGCGTTGTGATGCACGCACACAAAGACAAAGATCCCCCATGTAGACTTAAACATACTTGGGGCAAGTGCTGTTAGTGTGTAGCACCTATGAAGGCCAGAACGGCACACGAGGGGTGGGTGGCCAGCACCACACCCGGCCGCCTTTGTCTTCCCAGTGGCGATCTTTTTTCGTGCTGCACCAGGTCCTCATTTGAGGCCGAGTCGACCTAGGGGGGAGGCCCAGGGACGGTGTAGATAATCGTCACAGGTGTTGGTGGCCTTGAGCGGGAATCGAACTCGGGTTGCCAGGTTCGTAGCACTAAACGACCGCTCCACCAATACCAACATCCGCCATTCGCCACTAAGTGATGGTGACGTCACCACGGCGCCTGTGCCAGGCCAGGTGCACTTTGAGTCCACGTGGAGTGTCGAAGGCTCGCTGCTGACAGGAGGTCTCGGGGCAGACCCAGGTGCCATGGGCTGGCTGATTGAGATGACCGTTAGAGGCACCACCAGCTGTACCCCCCCCCAGTGCCAACTTGCTGCATCTTAGCAGCCCGTCGCTCCGGGCGGCTACCGCTCCCACACAGACACACACCCATCAGACATCAACTAGACCGGGGATGAAACGCCGGGGCCCCAACGGTATCATCTTTAGATGTGCGTGCCAAGCCTGCGAGTCTTTGTGCAGACGACGCGACGCACGGGATGGACGCCACTGCTGCATCGGTTGTAGAGTTTACACTTCCAAATCCACATCTCGATTAGCACGGTTGGTGCGAAAGGAGTTCAAGATACCTACGCTACAGGATACACAACATACTACATTATATACTACACTTCACTATACACTACACTGCTTTTTGTGATTAGTTCTTCCCTCCGCACCTCCGATTAGCGCGCTTGGCTACGTACGGCGCGAAGGAAGTTCAACGTACGGGATGTGGGTCACCGGCTCCATCTCCCGGCATAGCAGAAGTTGAAGCGATGAGCCAACTTGTGTTCATGTCTGCCGTATCCTGTTGTCTCTGGCAGTGTACAGGGAGTCTTCTACTTACGAACAAGTTAGATGCCTGTTCGTAAGTCGATTTGTCCAATTTCTGTCGATTCCAAACATACGGTATGTACACTAAACACGGGGAATGGCTGTAAAAGTTGTATCATCTTCCCGTGGACGTAGATGCCACCGCTTCTTCACGTTCTGTAGGTGTATATGCCACCACCGCCATCTATTGTGCGGCTGTTGAACTTACGACTGTCCGAACAGGCAACTGGACGTACGGACAGGTTCGTATCTTTGAAAGTTCGCAAGTCAAATGGCCGTAAGTCGGTAGCAACGGCCACGGTTGGTGTATCGGCAGCTCGCGTTTGGTGGAGTAACGTTTGGGTCGGGGGGTGACTTCCATCTCTTGCAAAACATCTCGCCGGCGTGGAAGTGTAGGCCAGACTTACCCGTTAGAGCAGTGGTTCTTCATCTTAAGCTGGGGTGCACGCTCCACTCCCTGGGCGTGCGAGACATGGACAGATTTTTTGAGAAGGTAAATCGTCAAAACACAAATTAAACACATTCCTGCGGAGGAATGTGTTTAATTTGGACCACTGTGGGGAGAGTCATCGGAAATTGTCACGTTGGCAAAACTGGGCCCCTGTCATGGGAACGTGGAATATCCACCGCTGGCTCAGGAGCGCCGCCCCACGGCGGGGAGAGATGATCAGAGGCGCTTCGTCCTCACGCTTCTGTGGGAGACGCTTGGAAAGTTGTTGTTGTTGTCAAAAGCCACGAGGTGGCGACAACGTGACGTGGAATAAAAAAGCAGCCGTGACCTCAACACAAAAAATTGGTTCGAAAGCTACGCAATCATCGTCGTCGTGGAGAATACAAGTGTTGTAACGAGAAGAAAAGATGTCCTCTACATGGAAAGTAAAAAAATTAAATCTTTTGTTCAACATCCCATCATCGACACGGCCCTTCCTGGGAGCGCATCATTCCAGCAGAATTGAACCGGTTACAAAACTGAGAAGCAAGTTTCGACATTCAGTGTCAGCCTCGATTGGACCAAAGCTGGTGAACTGCCCAGATGTGTATGGGTCCGAGTGTGCCCAACGACATAATCATCGGGGCGCCGCGGTGGTAAGATGTTAACTACCTCGCCGGCTACACAGGAAGTCATGGGTGCGATTCCAACCCTGACGCCTGCTGCTGTATATTTGGAGTTTCCGTGTCTCTCTCATCATCATCACGGTGGCTAGGAGATGTTAACTACCTCGCCTGGTATACAGGAGGTCGTGGGTTCGATCCCGACCCTGACGCCTGCTGCTGTATATTTGGAGTTTGCGTGTCTCTCTCTCTCATCATCATCACGGTGGCTAGGAGATGTTAACTACCTCGCCTGGTATACAGGAGGTTGTGGGTTCGATTCCGACTCTGACGCCTGCTGCTGCTGTATATTTGGAGTTTGCGTCTCTCTCCGTGACCGTGTGGATTTTTCTCCGGGTCCTCCGGTTTTTCCCTCTACATTTAAAGTCACTACGAATTTATAGTATTTGGCTGCTATATATTTCCACGTGTTAAGCCACTTCGGTTGAACTATAATTCGTGATTGCCAGGTCTGAGAAAGAGCTACGTAGCTCACTGGGCCTTACCTGGTAAAATTAAATAAAAAATAGTAACTCGATCCATGAATGGAACAAAAAAATGTCCAGATTTCAACGCCACTGAGCTTATACTCTTAGGTTTTTTCGGTAAAGTCACGTAGGTAAAACATAATAGAAATAAAATAATATTAAATGAAAATAAATCAATTAAATCACGACGTTTCGGAGGCAACACAAGTCTCCGTCTTCACGTGGGACCGTCACGGCCAGATTTACTGTATCAAGTGAAGGTAAAATCCAAGAGACAAGATCTCAAATACAAGTTAAGGGGGAGGTGGGGGGGGCTTATCTGAATGTGGTAGTCAGGGAATGAACGGTGGGGGGGGGGGGGGCTAGAAGGGAGGGTGCAGTTGGTGCACCTTACCTGGTTGTTACGGCCGATGTTGGCTGCCAAATACAAAATACAAAGTAGCAGCACTGTTGAACGCTGATGATGACAACAACTCGGTAAAGTAGACTAGTACCTGTCGCGAGACGAAGACGACGAAGATGTTCTTTCGATAAAGTCACGTAGAAGGGAAATAATAAAATAATAATATGAAACAATAAAAATGCTCACGACGTTTCGACTGCAACACAAGCAATCATCATCCAGGTGTGAAATCCACAGCAATAATTTTTTTTTTGCTGTGGATTTCACAGCTGATGATGATTGCTTGTGTTGCAGTCGAAACGTCGTGAGAATTTTTTTTTATTGTTTAATATTTTCATCATTTTATTATTTCCCTTCTACGTGACTTTACCGACAGAACCAAGAATATGAATCCCTGCAGTCACGAAAGCTTTAAATCAAAGACGAAGATGATGAAGACGAAGAAGATGACGTAGAAGGAGAGGAATACGATGACGAGTCTCCACGGGGCAGATTGTCGCCAGGCACGCGGAGTTCGTCTCTGCTGTGACCCCCCTCGCCCCCACCCGGTTGTGTTGCGTGCAACCAATTTTGATTGCTTGCGACTGATTACTCCACGGGGGGGGGGGGGGTCTTGCCTGTCGAAGGTGCAGCGTTACCCCCCCCCCCCGACTAATGGGTTCCACTTTTCCAATTTCCCCGTCACGCTCCACAGAGCGGTGGTGATAGCGAGAAGCTGGGGGAGCCGTGCACACTCACAACAACAACAACAACAATACAAATAACAACACACACGCACATATATATATATTTATATAAAACACGCACAATTGAAACCGTGCAATGGTATTACCACGTGAGACAAAATGAAGCAAATTGAAAGTTTAACATTCGACAATAACGCCATGCGCGCGCGTGTGTGTGTTCGTGTTTGTGTGTGTTCGTGTGTGTGTGTGTGTTCGTGTGTGTGTGTTCGTGTGTGTGTGTGTTCTCGTGTGTGTGTGTGTTCGCGTGTGTGTGTGTTCATGTGTGTGTGTCTGTGTGTGTGTTCGTGTGTGTGTGTTCGTGTGTGTTCGTGTGTGTGTTCGTGTGTGTTTGTGTGTGTGTTCGTGTGTGTGTGTGTGTTCGTGTGTGTGTGTGTGTGTTCGCATGTGTGTGTGTGTGTGTTCGTGCGTGTGTGTGTTCGTATGGGGAGCGGTGGTGCAGTGGTTAGCGCGCTGCGCTATGAACCCAGCGACCCGTGTTCGATTCCCGCTCACAGAACACGCCGTTGACGGATGCGTCGAGTCGTTTTTCGCGTTCGTTGTGCGCGCGCCCGATCGTTTGATCAGCTCTGGTAGTATGTGACGATGATGATGCTGATGAATTGTCTTTAAAACTGATTGGTCCACAGCAGAGACAGCTTTCTTTAGAGCCTCGTCTCAAACCGGTGTTAGGCCAGCGGACGCCTAAAGGCGAACAGCACAAAGACGATGCCACCGTCACGACATTGAGAGCTTCATCACGGGACCTCCTTTGCCACGATCGAAATATCACAATGGGTTTCCCCCCTTTCTGGCCTCGATAAAACAGGTTTTGTGTTAAGATGTTAGAACACCAAACTGAAACCTTTTGCAAGGAAGCGTGTCTGCATTAACCACACGTGCTTATGTAGCTGCTCACCTAACCTTAAAATGAAATATCTCTGCGTCACCGCGCCCTTACAAACTGGCACGCGCGTTAATGCCATTAATATCACGTCGCGGTCTGCTTGTCGCCTGCAAGTTTCAGATTTACTGCAACACAGCCCGTCCTTGGACGGGCAAAGGGCTCGGTGACAACAACAACAATACGCCTTTGCGTACGCATGATTCTTCTTCCTCGTTTGTGCGTGCCTGTGTGTGTGGGTGCGAGCACTTGCCCCTACAGTCTGTTAAGGCTATACGGGGGATCTTTGTCTTTATCTTTGTGGGG